CCACTGGGTGTGCATGGGTGGGAGTAGCTTCGGCCGAGACCGGAATACTCGTGGAGGGCAATAAGCCACAGGGAAGGAGGCGATGCAGAGGGAGGCTGAGGGGCTGCTGCGCCCCGGCGGTGCAGCGCAAGCGGGCTACGCCAGCAACGGGCTGCGGCACGATAGCCTCAGTCCGACGCCGAACGAACGCGTCGCCATTGAAAATGTTCTCAACACCACCGAAGAGCGGCGGCGGCGTGAGGCCAAAGTTTTGTACGGTGCCCTCATCTTCTGCTTTGTGTTCATGGTGCTGGAATTTGGCTCGGGCGTCCTTGCCCACTCCTTGGCTCTCCTGACGGATGCCGCCCACCTGATGATCGATGTGGGGGCGTACGGGCTGAGCATCATGAGCCTCAAGGCGGCATCCAAGGCGTCCTGCGGGAAGTACAACTACGGCTGGCACCGCGTGGAGGTGATCGGGACACTTGTCTCCGTTTTCTCCATCTGGGCGCTGGTGTTGTGGATCATAATTGAGTGCATGACACGAATGTGGAACGTCGTGGCGTGTAGCCGCATCCCGGCGATGTTACTGCATCAGGCCGTTTTGGGAAAAGCGGGCGTTGGGATTGCTGCTGCGCCGTCCGAGCTGATGTGCGAGGAGATTAACTCACATATTATGATCGTCGTGGGTGTTCTGGGCATGGTTGTGAACGTTGTGTGCGCCTTGATTCTGTACCTTGGCGGCTCGCATGGGCATAGTCATTTTGGGGGGCACCGCCACAGCCACACGGAGGGAGGAGCACGGGTCGGAAGAAAAAATTTACAACGACTCGCAGGAGCATCACGGGCACCACCACGACCACAATGCTCAACACAACCACGGTTGTGGTGGCAAGGGGAAGGACAAGAAGGGGTTTGCAGTCAACGCGGCGTTACTTCATGCGTTGGGCGATTGTGTGCAATCCGTTGGGGTGATACTTGCGGGCATCTTTATTTACTTTACCAACAAGCATGTCTTCGGTACCCCATCGTATAAGTACTCTCTCTACAACCTCGCCGACCCGCTCTGCTCATTGTTTTTCGCCGGTGTCACGCTTAACATGACAAAGCCGCTGCTGGTGGACCTCTTTGGGATTCTCATGGAGAGCACACCGCCGGGGATTGACTATCTCTCCCTCAACGAGGCTCTTTTGAGCATTGATGGTGTGGTCGGTGTGCATGACCTGCATGTCTGGTCTCTCTCGTCGGACTATGTCGCCCTATCCGTCCACCTTGTCGCAGATGACGCAGCGACGGCGCTGCGCAAGGCGCAGTACGTGTGCGAGAAACTCTTTGGCATTGGTCACACAACAATCCAAGTGGACGCGGTGAAGAATGGGGCCGACCTGTGCCCGGCAGCGTGCGCGTCCCTCTCGAGTGTGACAGTGGTGTAGAGGGTCATTCATACCCACTTTCCGTAAAGAGTTGAACTGTAAAAAGTGCCTATTGGAACTAAGGACAAGAGGAAGAACGAGGGGAGAGGGAGTTAAGTATGACGCACGAGTTTGCCAAAGAAGAGGGTCATTTGTGACTGGACACATATCACGATGCCTTCTTTCCTCGCCGTTTTTTTTCTTTTATTTATAAGCGTTGTGTGTGTGTGTGCTGTGAAAGATCATCTGGCTATTGCACGAAACTGAATTGTTACGAAGACATACAGAAACGAAGGAGAGGGTGAATTCTCAGCGTGTGGTCCGCTTCAGCTCATTGTCGGCTGTCGAGTGGCATGTGCAACTGCCGCGGTGCGTGGGATGTGCCTTCATTTTCTCTGGGTGAAGCGTCAATATTTCTCTTTCCCCCGTGTCCCTTTCTTCTCACCGTCTTTCCCCACCAGCCGCAGCCTGGCAGGGAAGGGGACGACGTGAGGCGGTGCGTCGGTTGACACCGAAACGACGCCTCACCCTGTCTCGCCCTGGGAGCACGACGCGAAGGACCTTGCCCGCCGCGACGCGGTTAGTTGCGTCCTACTTTGATGATTGAATAAATGAAACAAAAAAAAATTTTTGTTCGTGCAGCATTTTGCCTGAGGGGCCTCGTGGGGAGGGGGTCCGTGGTTTACTGCGTGTATCGAGGCCATTGAGCCATTCAACGTGGCTGCTGTTTTGCCACTTTTTTTCCTTCTTCTTTTTTTTTTGTTTGCCGTCTTTCAGTAGCGCGTTGTTGGTGGATTTCTTCTTCTTCTTTTGCCCGGTCCCACGGTGGTTCGCAGTCAACGCATGAGCCCCTCCAGATGTGTTAAGGCGCGCAAGTCTCCTCGCCTCTCTCAGACGCCAGTCGCAGCCATGGCGTCAACGACTCCTCCTCCTCCCGACGCGGCGGTGGTAGTGTGCCGTGGCGCGCTTTTGGTTATCGGCACCTACCACTCAGTGATGGCGGGGCTTGTGTATCGCCGCAACAAGTTTGGGATGCTTTTTTCCGTGAAGCACCACGAGGGCTGCGTCAGCAGCGTGGCGGTGGGCGACAAATACATGGCCTCCGCCGGCACAGACGAGCGGGTCTTCCTCTTCACAAACAAGCAGCAGAGGAGCCTAACCGCCACGGAGCGGCAGCGACTGCGGGCTGCGGGGGAGACTATAGGTGTGCGCCTTGCGGACCTTGGCCACGTCGCACCACCAAGTGAGGTGCGCTGTCTTCTCTTCGTCGCCAACTCGCAGCACCTGCTCTGCGGCTGCGCGGACGGTCAACTCGTCATGTACCGCACCCGCGACTGGACTGTCAGCCGCTCGCTCCCGCTCCACGAGAAGAGCGTCACGAGCGTTGCGGCTCACCCGGGCAGTGACGGGACGTTGGCTGTCACGATCGGCGCTGACCGGTACGTGGCGGTGGTTGACCTTGCGAGGGGTCGGATGCTGAGTAAGTGGCGCTACAACACATCCCTCGTGGAGATCCCGTCGGCGCGGCAGGGCGAAGCGGCGGAGGCGAGGGAGGGAGAGGGTGGCAAGGACGGCCAGCCGTGCGTGAAGCGGGCCAAGTTGGAGAGGCGCGATTGCCCTCACACGGTGAAGTTCTCGCCGAGCGGGAAGTATTTTACCATACTTTCGAGTCACGCCTTCGCCGTGCACGAGACGGCAACGATGAACGTCGTGGCGCGTTACCGGGCGTCATCGCCGCAGCCGTGCGATGAACTTCACGCCGTTGCGTTTCTGGACGACGCTACGATGATCTTCGGGAATGAGTCCGGGGCAATGTTGGCCTGCCGTGGGCCGTGGGAGTCGGGGGACGCACAGCCACGGGACTGCTCCCTAAGCCCCATTGTCGTACACGTTCCGGCGGAGTTTGAGAAGCCGGTAGACGAGACGAAAAAGCCACTGCGGCACCCGACGCACCACGCGACACGTTTGAAGGCCCTCCACTACGTGGAGCGCACGGTGTTTTCCATGGACGCCGCAGGCACCGTAATCGCCTGGTTTGTAGGGGATGCTGTGGACGCCACGCTTACGCTGACATTTGTCTGCAGCGCGAATTGTCAGGGACGCGTCACGACGATGGATGTGCTGCTACTGTAATGGAACTACTTTCTACCCGTGTGTCTCTTTACATGCATCTGCAGTGGGACATCCGTCCACACATCTGCGTATGCAGACACAGGTGTTGGTGTGTTCATCCTTTTTGTTTCCTTTGTATTAATCCGCGTGTAAGTAGATATATAACTAACGAGGAAAAGGCAAAAGTGGGAGTGGCGCGGAGAAGCGTCAGTCTCTATTGTCAATCTGTGTGCGGTGTATGCGAGGTTTCTTGTTACCTGCAGACTCCTCTTGCCACCTGCTTCTCTCACTCATTTTTGATGTTTTAACTGGTGGAAGTTGCGGTCTCTTCTGCACGTTGTGTGCTTTTTTTTTGCTTTTGTTTTTGCTTCTTCGTTCTCTGCTTCTGTCTCTTTTGCTGTTGCGTGTGTGGTGGCGCCCAACAGGCTCGCAAGAAGCACACATACACATCGACGACATCGATGGCGTGTGCGTGGAGACGATGAGGCCCACGGCGCACCTGGAGACTCACACGCGCCCGCTCACCGCCGAGAAGGGGCGGCCAACAGACGAGTCTGCTGCCCAGGCAGGTGTGCACCCCGAAGGACCGCCCATACTCGCCCAACACCGACTGGGCCGAGACCAGCAGCGTCTTCGAGGACGGGTGCAGCACACGCGGGAACCATGCCGTGAATCGTGAGAGGATTTACGATGCACCATCCCACACGACCCCGCGAATGGTCTACGGGCGGGGCAGCCTGTTGGGCGCTGGGGGCGACTTTGGTGACCGGGTCTTCTGCGCACCTCATCGGTGTCACAGGCTTTGGAAATCCGCCGCTGGCAGGCTCCACCACAGGAGGGGCGGCGCCGACGACAATACCGCTCACGGCGACCTCCGCCACGAGTGGGGTGTCCGTGACGTCCGTAGAGTGCTCCGTGTGGGATGGGGGGAGGGCGCCAAGGCTGTTGCGGGGATCGCGGAGATTCTTCTCAGACAAACCTGCTGACGACGGAAACGGAGTCGGCGAAGCAAAGGTGTACAGCAAACTGCATGAGGTACCACCACCACCACCCCGCACTTTCCGCCTTCAGCGTGGAGGATGTTGCAGGGGACAGTACCGCCGCGGCGGGGCCGCCTCTCTCCATTGCCAGCTTGGCTGACGACACCGTGAATGGCCAGCTGTAGCTGCCATCGGACCCTTTCGCCCTCACAGCGCCCCACAGCCGACCTGGTGCCAAGGTGGGCCCCGCAAAGGAAAAAAAAGAGTCTCTGAGCGATTTTCTGTACTTTCATGCCAGATTTTTTCCTCCTCCTCCGCCGCCGCCGCCGTGCAGTTCGCTGCCCTTGATGGAGCTGGAACGGGGCCAGCAGCTGGTGAGGTTCAGCCACGTCCCCTACCACGGCAACCGATGGCTGGAGATCTGCGAGCGCTGGCTTGAAGTGATTGAGGGGCAGTTTGATTACCTGCCTGCTAACACTGTGATCCCTTTTTCGCAAACTTTTGCCCTGAGCGACGTCGTCGCTGCTTAGCCCTACGTAGGTTGCCTGCATGAAGTGCCGCGACGCTGATGGCGCGTTTTCACGGCAAGCACTACGAGGCGCGAAGAAAATTAAAAGAGGCGCACCTGCGGGTGGAGGTCAAATGACACGAAAATGCAGTCATATACACCAATAATAAAAATGAGGCGGAGGAAAAAAGCGGATGAGTGGCAGCGTGTAGTTCACTACAACCATTTGACCTAACATGCAGCGGTGGAGAGAGGTACAAGGGAAGAAAGAAGGAAGGATATGAATACATAAACAATCATATTTTTTTTCCTCCCGTGTGTGTATTTTTATTGTATTTGGTGTTCATCTTTGCTGAGCCCATGCATTACTGGCGGTGGTTATGCTGCCCTGTGCGTGTGCATGTATCTTTGATGAAGCGTGTTGCCGGTGCCGCATAGACTGCGGCGACGATGGCCTTCACTCAAAGGATGGCTAGAAAAAAAAGGAACTTGCTGTGTATTTGTTTTTCTGCCTGTTTGCGTGTGTTTTTCGTCGGCGTAGGCAGTGTGGTACAGCCCGCCTTTGTATTACGCATCTTGTTTTTCTTGTCTTGGTAGTTCTGGTTTGTCCCTTCGTCGTTTCCCCAGCCGCGTTTTAGCCTCCCTTCTTCACGTGACCTGTGAGGGCTGTGGGGCCCTCTGCTCTCAGCTTGAGGAGACGTCAAACTATTGCGTGTTAAACGCACACGGAATGATACACGTGTGTGTGTATATATTTATGTATTATGTGCAACTTCCTGCCACTTGCTCACACTCACTGCCCGCCGCACATGTCCGCCTCTTATCTTGCCTTTTACCCCTCACACTCTGCGACGACGTCCGCATACACGCACGTACGTACTCCCCTTGTAGCAAAAGGTATATTGAGGCTTTAGTGTGCGAGAGCAAAGAAAGGAGCCGATTGGGGCAGGAAAGCACGCAGAAGGGACCGTACAAGAAGCCAGGATGGATGCATTCCTCAGCTCCGCGCGGGAGGCGGACGCCTTGCAGTCGGTGGACTTCGATGCCTTGCAGGGCGCCATTGCCGCGGCACACACGTTGGAGGAGGGGCGGGAGATGCTCGCCGCTCTGATGGACGCCTACTACGCCGCCGACCGCATGCATGCGGTGTATCGGCGGGCCATTATGCGAGCCATTGGCTTCTGTCTCCGTCAGGCGGGGCCGCCCTTGGACAACGGCGACGGTGGGCACCGGTGGCAGCTGACGGCAGATGATTACATTCTTCTTGCGCTTTTTTTCAACGAGTTGTCGACAGTGGACGACACGCAGCTTTTCTCGCTCTTCACAGAGGCCGTGACGCTGCTCTTCCAGCAGACTGTTCCCCTCGTGTACGGGTTTGGTGGCTGCTATTCGGTAGTGGAGGCGTCCACGGCAGAGTCACTTTGCAGTGAGCTGCAAACGCTGCGAGTGGTGATGGCTAAACGTCTCACAACACCTCCCACAGAGCCGCCCTCACACGTGGACGGCAGCACAGGCATGCAGCTGGGCATCCTCGACTGTCTGCGTGCGTTGCTGCTGTCACTTACGCAGGCCGCGTCAATGCCGGCCAGCACTGAAGGGGCAGTGGCTGAGTTGCCTGAGAGCGACAAGGAAGCTGTGTTGTTGGCGGTTCGGCAAGCTGTAGAGGGCATCCTGTCGCCGCTGACGACGGCGGTGGAGACGCTGCGGTCGTCGGTCGGAGCAGGGAGCGGTGAGAAGGCTCCCGCGTCCATACGCATGCAGGCAGGCACAACGGTCTCTCCGCTCGTCTTGGCGAGCGCACTGCGTGTACTGGAGGAGCTGTTCTGGCGCTGCGCCAGCCACGAAACACCGCACGACAGTTGTGCGCAACCGGACGCAGAGACGCCGCTCCTTGCCGCTGGACGCTTTGCCGTAGCCCGGGTTCTCAGCGCCCTGCAACAATATTTGGTGGTGCTGCAGAAACAGTCGATGGAGTCCGCGGCGGGTTCAGTGGACAGGGGGGCTTTCGCGGCCGATGCGTTGCGCACGACGGGGGTGCAGTGGGCGGTGCGGCGCCTGCTGTCGGTGGTGCGGCTGCAGCTACGCCTGTTTCCAGCGATGGAGCACGCGGTGGGGGCGGCCCTCAACGCCTTTGGCGAGGTCATGGAGGTGGAGGATCCGCTCCAACTCATGCTCGTGCGGCGTGAGTGTGAGCAGGTGCTGCAGAATAACGGGGATGATGATACCAAAGCCGCGGCGTGGCGGGCTGCGTGGGAGGTGGCGGAGGCGCCGTCATCCGAGGCCTGCTCCTCGCGACTGCGGGAGTGTGAGCAGATTTTGGAGGCGCCGCGTGAGGAGACGACGGCGAACGACGCCGCCGCCGACACCGACCTTGGCGACATGGACGATGCGACCCTCCTACAAGGCGGCGCCGGCGGCAAGGAGGCGCTGCTGCAAAGCACCGTTGGCCCTGTCTCGGTGAACGCGCTGGTGGACATCGTGCTGCTGAGCGTGCGCCACATGGACATCATGACGGAGCAGGCGATTCAGGCACTTCACACGCAGGGGCTGGAACGGATGCAGTACGACGCGGCAAAGCGGGCCCAGCGGGAGGAGATCCTTCGGCAGCGTCGCATTGAGCAGCAGGGTGTGGAGGGTATTCCGGTGGGGCGGCTGCTGGAGCACCTCAAGGAGAGCACTGCCCTCTACGCAAAGGGCACCCACCTCCTCGAGAGTGAGTCGGCACTGGCAATGGTGTTACGCGAGGCCTTCTTTTCACTGCTTGATGTCTACGATGCATTTTCAGAGGAGACGGAGAGTCGTTTGCTCGAGGCGCAAGCCCTCATTGCGCGGGCCCTGGCGCAACTCCCACTGTCGATGATAGACGCCGCCGTGGACGCGGTGTGTGTGCGCCTCCGCAGGGAATTTCTCCGCTGCGCCCGCGAGAGGACGGCCGCGCCTCTCCGTACTTTGGCGTACCAGCTTGTCATGCAGGTGCTGTTTACGTTCTACTCCGCGCTGGCGCCCGTGCGGGAGCGGGGGAACAGCGCCTTTGCGTTCCTGGGCGCCACAAACACCGGTGCGGAGGCGGAGCTGCAGCTGCAGGGCTCGCCACTGGAGCTGCGGTCCCACGCAGCCTTTACGATTGATGCCGACAACCCCGTGGAGTGGCTGCAGTCGACGACGCAGGACGCAGTTGCCGGCGGCGGAGGTGGTGGCGGGTTGAGTTCCCGCAAACACCCCCGCGACGAGGAGGAGACGCCGCACGCGAACGACAATGCGGACGGCGAGGGCGGGGCGAACATGTCCATTTTCTTCTGTGAGGATACAACGCAGTCGCCGTGCATGTACAGCTACGTCCTCTGCCGCGTGATGGAGTTGGCGACGGAGGCCAGGCTGCCGGCGCTGCTGCTTGACGTCCTGTTGCAGTGCCCCTGCATCACCCGCTACGTCTGGCACTACATCCACAAACAGTACTGCCTCTCCACCGAGAAGGAGCGCTGCTTGCTGGGGATGTGGCTTCTGAAGAGCCTTGCCCTTAAGCGCGCAGTGTGCCGGCGCTACGCCGTGAACAGTTTGTTACATCTGGCTGCCGCACGCAATGAATACCCGCGCCGACTCGCCGTGACTAAACTCGGAGAGCTTCTCTCTGCCCACGGCACGGACGGCCGTCGCGTCATCGACAAAAATGCCGAGACGCTACTGGTCTGCTACGCCAAGCGGCAAATGGCAGCCATACCCGTCACGAAACTCCCCCCCTTAGCAGCGTCTGTTGGCCCCATGTCCAATTCTGTGGCGAAGATGGAGGGCGCAAGCACCAACGACGACGAGGGCGGTGCCGCCGCGCTCCGTGAGAGGGAAATAAGGAAGCTTGCAGACTCGCTGGATCGCCATCTCGGTCCTTTTCTCATGCTGTGCGCACGTCAGCCGAAGGAAATTTTCCCCGTGCTGCTGACCGTCTTCAAGGAGTGTGATGAACGGCAAAATGAGGTCATGATGCGCCTCCTCGTGGAGCACGTGGATGTGGGCCGGATGTGTCAACGTCTGTTCCGGACGGATGCGATGTCGTTCATGTCCAACGTGATGCCGTACCTGCGCCGGCACAGCGGCGACGCCACGGTGTTGGTGCAGAAGATACTGTGGGCCATTTGCGCAGAGCTGCGAACGATGGGGCAGGCGGCGGAGTCCTCGGCGTCGCAGCTGGAGCAGACGGCGCTTGCGTTGCTGGGGCACGCGCGGGTGATGTACGACAGCAGTGAGATTCCACAACTGTACCGTTCCGCTGCCGGTGCTGGTGATGCGGGGGATGCCGCAACGGCGCTACACGACGTGCGGTTTGTTGCTCCTTTTCTCGGTCTCACCAGTGCGGAGGAGCTGCGGCACACCTACCTGCGTTCCTTGCTGCACTTTGTACAGCTGCAACTCAAGCTTCAGCTTCAGCAGCAGCAGCAGTGTGCCTCAGCTACAGGGATGAATGCGGACGCGGAAGTAATGCGGATGAGTAGTGAAGAGCTCGAGGCATTTATCCGCGATGTCGTGCGCGAGGTGCTTGTGCGTTCGCCTGTGCCCTTCTCCGACGGCGTCTCCCGCGGTCTTTCACGCACGGAACTTCTTGTCTACCTGCACCGCGCCTCACACGAGTCACACGCCGCGGACTCCCAAACGGCCGCTGGTAAACATTCGATCTCGTCTTCAAGTGCGGGGCGGGGAGAGTCGCGCGGTATTTTGGGCGCTGCCTCTTCTTCCGCAACAGCCATAGAGGGAGCTGCAGGAACGCGGCAAGCCGCAGAGGATCTCCCTATTAGCCCGCTCACCACAAAAAAGGTCATTGGTGTGCTGCTAAAACTTACACGCAGCTTTGACGGCAGTACGACGGAGTTTCTCTACGGCCCTGAAGAAATTAAGAGCGCGGTGCGTCAACTGATGCAGCACGTTGGTGGCGGCAATAGTAGCAGTGGCAGTGGCACGTCCTCCGTTCCCTCACAGCTGATGGTAACATTAATTCTTGCCTGCAAACTTCACGCCCAAAGGCCACACGCTGACCTTGTTCGCTTCGTCCACCAGGCAGTGCTGCTGCCGCTCGCGAAGGATGCCACGTGGGAGAAGGACATAATTCTTTGGCGTGGTGTCTTGCTGTTTGCGGAGGAACACTACAGGGAGTGCAGCAACTTCCTTGTCAATCTGCCGGAGAAGGTGCTTATTCAGGCCTTGCGCAGCCAGCCACAGCTCTGTGAGTACTTTAGAGAGGAACACGGCAACAACGCCTCCTTTGGCCACATTCTGGGGAGTTTGTAGCGGTGCGGAGTCACCGCGAAGAGGCGGCGGGAGGAGAAGCCTGCACGGGCACGAGGCGCGCGAACACGCCGCGGCGTGCTGTGGGATGGGTGGTGCCGAGAATAAAATGCGAGGGGGAGGCGCGTGAGAGGGGACATTAGCGGGCACGGGAAAAGAGTAAAGCCCACTGATGCAGAAGAGACCCGCGGAGGGGGGGGTTGGTGTGTGAGGGAGGGAGGAATATATATATGCGGAAATGGTGAACGAGCGTATCAAAGATGACTGGGGGGTGCAAAGAGGAGAAACACACCTTTTGTCTTTTTGCTCTTGTTCCTCCTGTTCCTGCTTGCTGTTCCCTCCCCATGTGCCTCCCGCAGCGAGACTGGCTAAGGTGCCGCCATCGTTGGTGTTTCCTCGCCGTCGTTCTCTGCCCCCATGAGCCCCGCAAGCAAAGCGGTATAGAAAAATAAAAAGGTGAGTGCGTGTGTGCCGGAGCCGCTCTCTGGACGCGCCTGCAGCGCTGCGGCGCCCTGTCCGCAACCTGCGACTGCTTAGCACAGTGGTAGTGCGCCACTCTACTGAAGCGGCGGTCGCGAGTTTGATTTTCGCAGTGGTTTGTTACCTTTGTGTTATTTATTACTTTTGTTTACTCTTCTTCACCTCGGCGCCGCTATTCCTTCCTGCATTCTGCACAGCGAGGGGCGAGGAGGTGGGCGGTTACGCGGAGGAGGAGCACATCTGAGAGAACGATAAAACAGAAAAAAAAACTGCCTGTTCGCTGGAGGAGGAAGACGGGTGGATAAGTGGTGTTTAACGAGTTTGGCTACCGCGTGTGTGGCTGGCGCGAAGGTTATGTTGCCCTGCTTGGCTGGTGAGCCCTGTCGACTGTGTCTCTGTGCCTTAATGTTTTTCCGCCTCCGCATCTTTTTCTATTTGCTGGTGTTGCCAATGTTTATGTGTAGGTGTGTCAGTGCTCGGCGGTTAGGGTCCATCTCGACAGCGAGGAGGAAGAGAAACGTGGCTCTCTTGCGTGTATCCCCACACCCTCGATGATCTGTAGCTGATGGGCCAGTCTTCTGATTAGGGCTCTAAGGCTGCCTTCTTGAGGTCATTTGGGTTCTCTTCTGAGGGCGAGACAACAATTTCAGTCAACTTGTTAGCTGTTTTTGTTGCGGGTTTTGCTTTCTTTGCCGCGTTCGTCTGCCTTGTTTTGTTTTTCCCGGCGAGGCAGCTCAGCCGAAAGGGAAGAGCGCCCGAAGAGGGAGTCGCAATACCCCGAGGCGGCGCCCGTGCCGCAATCCGCCAACGGGGGAGGAGGACGTGGAGGGGACGCTGCTGCTCATTGACGATAACCGCATTATTTTTGACAACGCAAGCGTCACCCTAACGTTTGTGCGTTCCTGTTCGTCTTTCGCGTCGTTGTCATCGGCCTTCTTTGCAGCTGCGACACGGGAGGATTCGGTAGCCGCTGCCGTGGGGCACCTTGGGCGGGAATGACGCGTTACAGCCTGCGTGGGGTGAGAGAGGCGCACATCAGCGTCCGCATCACAGCCACCGGCACACCCCGCGCCTGCCGAAGAAGATTCACGACGTCTCCACTAGCTCTACGTGCGGCGATCCTTGGCGCAAGTACATGGTTTGTCCAGTTAAGGTATGAGTGCCTCGACGGAACCGATGCCGCAGCTCTGTGAGGCGGACAAGGCGGAAAAAGAAGCAGTGAAACGTGGCGAGATGCAGGCCGTCGTGCTCCGTTGCCGCGGACAGGGGTGGAGGGCGGGCGACGTAGTCACGGATACAGGCGACGTTGACTGATGCCTGCCACCTTCCCAGTGGTCGGCGCCTTGCCGCGAAGCCAACAAGAATGGGGTGTGCCGGTGTATTTGTTAGCAGTGTTACTGCTGTATGTGTGCGTGTGTGTTCTCCTCCCTTTTTTCTCTCTCTTTACACCCCACGAGACAGACGATCGGCGGGCAGCTCTTGGAACAAACTTAGTAACCTATTTGTCCCAATCTTTTCCTGCATCTTCTTACGTGTGTAACCCAATGCCTTCTCCTGAAACCGTGCGAGTGAGCCGGCATGAGTTAGGAGATGCAGCGTGGCGAAAGTATTGATTTCAGGCGCGTTGCCTCCCACGCCTGCGTCTCTCTTAACCATCTCATGTTCTTTGTGCACGTGTGAGGACTCTGACGCCAGTCTCTATTGTTGCTTCTTATTTTTTTTTGTTTCTATACCCGCATATTGTTTTCTTCTCTACATTGTTTTTATTCTCCTGCCGGCTACGGTGTCCCCTCATTTGATGAGGACCTTGCGGCGAAGGTCACAACGATGAGCAAAGCGAGTATGGGGAATGCGGTAAGCGTAGCGACGAAGGCCGCGGCAGTTCCCAGAAGAACTGTCACTGCTGCGGAAGTGGCGGAGTTGTTGGCCTCCGTGCGGTACATTCTCCTCGACCTGGATGGTGTGGTGTGGACCGGGCAACACGTTTTGCCCAAAATTCCGCAAACCCTGGCGTACCTCCGCTCATGTGGAAAGCAGATCCGTTTCCTCACCAACAACGCCAGTGTCTCTCGTGCCGGCTTTGTGCGGAGATTCCAGCGGCGAGGTATCGAGGGCGTGCAGGAACACGAGGTGTACAACAGCGGTTTTGCCGCGGCGCTACGGCTTCAGAGCATGTTGGCCGCAGGGAAGAGCACCGGCTCGGAAAGGCCGCTAGTGGAGAGAAATGTATTTGTCGTTGGCGAGGACGGGCTTCACGAAGAGGTGCGGCGTGTCTTGGCCCCGGGATACATCACCTACGGGCTTGAGCTGCACGACGCAGAAAAGTGTGGCGGTTACGATGCGAACGTTTTAGCAACCGCGTGGGAGCGGCGCGTTCTTCCGGCGCCGCTCCAAGCTTCTTCCTGCGGAGTCACAGCGGCAGGCAGTGGCGCCGGGGGCATCTCGCTTTCTGACCTCGATCCTGCCGCGGTGGTGGTGGGCCTTGATCTGCACTTTAACATGCTCAAGCTTGCATGTGCCTTGCTCTGTCTACAGGGGCGGCCTGCAGCGCAGCCAGTGAATGCCGTTCCAACTGCCCCCGCGTACTTCATTGCCACTAACGAAGATCCTCAGATACCCATTGGGGAAGGCGGCGTGCTGCTCCCAGGCGCCGGTGGGATGGTGAGCGCCTTGAGTACCGTTTCAGGGCGCTCTCCTGATGCCGTTTGCGGCAAGCCGTACGTGGACATGGCGAAGATTCTCTTCGAGGAGGAAGGAATCACGGACCCACAGGAGTGCCTGATGGTGGGGGACAGGCTGACAACGGATATGGCGTTTGGGAATGCGGCAGGCTGCAGGACGATGCTTGTGCTGACTGGAGCGGAGAGTCTGGACGACGTCAGGAAGGCGGAGCAGGCCGGCCACACATCTCTTTTGCCCGACTTCATTGCGCCGTCGCTCTCCGTCTTTTTACCACCCGCGTAGGCGTGCGAGTTGGTTGACGGCCTCGTTTTTTTTTTAGTCTTATTTTTTTGGCACCTAAGAAATGAAGATGAAAACGTGGGCAACTGGGAAGTGTGTGCGTGCCTGCTTTTTCCACTGTCTCCTCCTCCGGTGTTTTTTGCCTTTTCTTCGAAGCTGCCCACTTTTGCACTTCGTGTTGTTTGCGGTGTGGCGTAAAGCGATAAAAAAAAAAAGAGGAAAAAAAAAGGCGTGTGTTGACCCTCCCACCGTCCCCCAAAGTGTCAGTCACCCGGCAGCTGCGTCTCTCTCTCACCCTCCCTTCCTTTCCCCTTCCTCCCATGTTTTCCTTTTTTTTTTCTGCTTCGTGAAAAATGTACATTTGTAGCCGTAAATCTCCATGCACTACTGGCACCCAACGCACTGCACCCTGCAGCTGAACTTTGTGCAGCCCGACGCCCAGCGTGACGGCGGCAGCGCTCCTCTGGCGGCGGGCGACGCCTACAGCGGGAGATCTTCCATTCGGTACTTGCGGCGTTCTTTTTCCCGTGCGACAACACAGGAGACGTTTCCTGCAGCTGACGTGAAGACCAACGATGGACTCCACTTCCATGCCATCACGGCCCCCACCCCCGAGCTTCCGAGGGCCCGGCCTCTTGTTATCCACTCCTTCAAGGTGCAGCCACAGCTGGCGTCGAGCGGGGCAGGGGCGTTGAAGGTGCTGAAAGTTGTGGAGAGTGGCCTCTGCGGTGGCGACAGCGGCGGTGCTGAGCGAGGCAAGCAGCGCGGCGCCGCCTCGAATGGTGGGCGCGCACGCCGCGATAAGAAGACGAAAGGCAAGGCCCACGACGCAAAGGACCCGGCACACCAGGGGCGCCCCGACGCCGACACGGAGCAGCGCGGTTGTGCGGACCCGGGGTCAAAACACGTCTTCTTTGAGGGAGGTGCGAGCATGCCAGTCGGCTCCAGCGTCACGCTAGTTATTGCCTTCACAGGCAGAATTCAGGGGTGGGATCAGGGAGGCATTTACACGAACGACAACGCAGAGTCGGCGGCAGGCGCAGCTCGTGGTGTGCTCCTCACACACTTTGAGGTCGCCTTGGCACGTCTCGCCTTTCCGTGCCCCGACGACGCTCAACACTACCGCCTCATTTGGCAACTGCAGTCGCTGCAGCTGCCCTCAAGCTACAGCTTGGTTGTGAGTAACACGGCGCGTATGTCAGAGAAGGCCATGGGTGGGAGGGGGACGCAGCACACCTTTTCGCCGGTGGGGCCGATACCCGCCTACGCGTTGGCCTTCGCCGCCTTTAGTGGTTCCGTGGAAATGGTGGAGGAGTTGCTGCGTCTGCGTGGGTCACCCACGACCGCAGCGGCAGGTCGCAACGCCGATGAAAAACTGGTGCCGTTGCGAGTGGTGGCGGCTACCTCAAGTGGGGTGACGTCGCATACGCTCAGGCGAATTGCCGACATCGTTCAGGAAGCTGTGCAACTCTTAGAGGACTACTTCGCTGCGCCGCTGCCTTTGCAGCAGATGCCTTTCTCGCACGACTTGGAGTGGCGGGAGGAGCTACTCACGATTGTGCTTGCCCCCACGATGCCGTACATCTCAGGCATGGAACACCATGGCTGCATCTTTCTCAACGAGGCCATCTACCGATCCTCCGCCTGCGATGGCAGCGCGAGAGGGCCAGGCAAGCACCACGACGCAGGGGCAGGCGGCACGACCGAGGCCAGCAGAGTGGAGCTCATTGTGCACGAACTCGCACACCACTGGGTAGGAAATACTCTCGGCATGCCGTTTGTTCTCAAGGAGGGAGTTTGCCTTTTGCTGGAGCAATGTTTCGGAGACGTCATTATGGGGAGGCCAATGCGCAGCATAACGCCCTCAGGTGCCAACATCATGTCCGCCACCGCAGTGCCCTCCCGTGCGGTGGCGCCGCCGCCGACGACGACGACGGTAACAGCAGCCGAGGCAGGCACTGCGGTGGTGGTGGTGGACACAGAGAAGGGTAAGGAGTTCACCGGGCACTCCTATCAGAAGGCACTAAATACACTGCGTGATGTGGTGAGTGGCATGGGATTTGCCGCCTTCAAGGAGCGCATGCAACGCATGTACCAAACGGAGGTAACGGGAGGCATCAAAAACGGCTGCGCAGTCGACGGAAATCACCATGCGGATGCTCTCGTGCCACCGTACATCACTGCGCCGCAATTTTTGGCGTACATGGAGACATAACGTACGTTTACGTGGGTACCTGCCCACAACGTAAGCTGCTGGGGTTTTGTACCTCAGGGGTCGGAGCGAGGCGGACGCAGAGGGCAAACTTTCACTTAGTTGTGCCTGGTAGTGTCGTTTGAGAGTCCTTTAAGCTGCCCCTCTTTCGCCACCGTCGTGCGCAAGTTGAAGTGGTGGGTATTTTTGGGAGGTGTGTGGCATCGCCATTCTCTTCTTTCCCCCGCCCCCTTCGCGTACACACACACACATCTCACGAATGCGCCTTGTCGTGAGTTGAGTTGTTTGTTGTTGTTGGTTTTTATTACCCCTTTCTTCTGTTTTTTAAGACACACAGCCATACGGAGATACACTCAACCATGCGCCGCGTCCTCGCTTCATACCTTTGTGCCCAACGCCCTGCACAGTGTGCCGTGACGGCAGTCGCTGCGCTGGCGCTCAACGCACCTATGCGGCGTCAGGGCACTCGACAAGGTCCGCCCGCCGGTGTTCCGCCGGAGTTCCGCGCCCCGCCCCAGCACGAGCATCAACCGTCGGAGGCGCACGCCGTGCCGGAGGAAAACTTTGAGCCACCGCAGAAACCCACAGAACCCCCGAAGACGCTGAAAATAGACACGAACGCGAAGGGCATCACCACCGTGCAGCTCGGTCGGCCCCCGGTGAACTCCCTCAGCCTGGAGGTCTTTGAGGAACTCAACAAGTGGATGCTCTGGCTTGGAAGCGACGGGGGGTGCAACTCCGTCATCCTCACCTCCGCGATTCCCACGGTGTTTTCGGCGGGGCTGGACATCAACGAGATGTACAAACCCCAGCCCGAGCGTCTTCGTCGCTTCTGGCAGGCGTTTCAGGAGACCTGGCTGATTCTCAACAGCTTCCCCAAGCCCATCATTGCCGCGATCAACGGCAACTCTCCTGCTGGTGGCTGCATTTTGTCTCTCGGCGCCGACTTCCGCGTCATGTCTCGCCACCCTGCAGGGAGGCCTGATCGCCTCTATCGTATTGGATTGAACGAGACCAAGCTAGGCATCACGACCCCCGCGTGGGTGATCCCCGCGTACGCCTACGTCGTGGGCTCCCGCAACGCCGAGCGCATGCTGCAGCTGGGAGAGACACCGACTGCCGACGAGGCGCTTAAGCTTGGGCTTGTGGATGCCGTGGTTGAGGAGGAGAAGCTGAGCGAGGCTGCGTCGCGGGAGGCGGAGCGCTTCATGGCGATCCCACAGCAGTCGCGGTGGATGTCGCGCGACATGATGCGACGCGAGTTCCTGCAGCACATTGCTACTGACGAGGACAGGGAGTACGACACGCAGTTTGTGGTGGAGCTCATGATGAACCCTGAGGTGCAGAAGGGACTGGGCGCCTACATGGCTCGTCTAAAGGGGCAGCAGGTGAGGAAGTAATTCATTTCCTTCCTGGCATCACCCGTTTCCCGCCGTTCCACGCAAACGCACCTACACGTGCCTATGCATGCAATGTGGACATGGCGGCGGCCGTTGACGCCCACCGCAAGGGCGGGAAGTACAGGCTGGACGTGTGGAGGCATAGGCAGCAGGAACATTAAAGGAACCACGAAAGGGAGAAGAAGGAGGAAAGAAGAATAATAATATTTTTTCAAGACTAGAAAATTACGGTGGGAGCGGCTCTGGGAGGTTGTCCCCACATTTACGACTGACTCCTGCAGGAGGCGCTCCGTGACTCTTGGCATGCGTGTCTGCAAAGAAGAAGAAGAGGGGGGGAAGGGAGGGGCGTGGCGTCTCCTCCTCGCGTTGGTGCATACATGTTTGTTTCTTCTTTTTTGTGTTTGATGCCGCACGCATTGCCGTTGGGTACCGGTGCAGAAACTCTTGGCGCCTCGCTGCTGTTCATCTTGCCGTCATCTCCTCCGCTCAACACCACGATGACGGCGAAGGAAAAGAAACCGCAGTCAATACCCGCAGCAGGATGCGAGGTGGGTGGAGGGTTATTCTGCGAAGGGATAGCGCTGTTCTACTGTCATCGTGGCACCCACGCAAACACGCACTAACGGGGCGCAATGCATGCGCACACGCAACCGCCAGCAACGCTTGTCCGCACGTTGACCGCATCCTCCTCAACCTCGCAGCACGTTCCCGCCGTATCATCTCTAATGTGATGTTGTTGTTTTTTGAACTTTTAAACGACGCGAGGAACACAGAAAGCCAGCCACACCAACACACACGCACTGTAACGAAGCAACAATACTCACACCAACCCCCCACACAGTCTCACTGCATTCACCACCGCCATGTCCCTCTCGGTTTTCTCAACATATTTTACTAAACCCACCACACAAGGCACGCCAACCCCAAAACACACACAGTGAAAATTACTCAATACACCGAAATGTTCCTACAACCATAGCCAACTAGATAAAAAAAAAATCATGGGAATTCATACACTACACAAGACATGACTGCCACTGGCAGCAAGACGTACATGTGGTTTGATCTTGCGCTCCGCCTGTTCCCCACCGCCAGCTACATTGCGAAGGGCGATGATGACATATTCCTCCGTGTGCCCCTTTTTGTGGCCAATTTGCGACTTCTGCCGCGCCGCAGGATCTACATGGGGGTTCATGCCGGAACGGGGATTTGGGAAAAGAACCGCACAGTAGGCGTGACCTTTATGGTTGGCCTGTGCTACGCGATGTCGAGAGATATGGCGGAGGCGTTGGTGTCGTACAAGCCGCTGCAGCGCTTTGCACTTCTGCAGAATGCGACAGGGGAGGAAGAAGAGTTCACAAAAATTCATATGAGTGACGACATAATGGTGGGGCGTGTGCTGCTGCAGGAGGTGAAGCCTCAGTCGCTGGTCCTTGTGAAGGTGTTGCCCTGCCATTTTCATGATGTCCGCAACGACACAGGGCACTCGCAGGTGGTGCCATCTTCCATG